CAAATTCTTTGACTTTCTGGACTTGACCATTTTCATCTTCCTTCTCGACGTATTGAATATGACGTTCCGCCCAGAATTCCGACGCAGGATGCCCCTCCACACCCCATACCGACTCTTCGCGATGGCCTATTTGGATGGCGGCAAGATGGCCTGGCCTTTGGACCTGGAAGTCGAGCCAGTGACATCACATTCGGCGTTGGCTCAGAGCGAATGACTATTGTGCTTCGTGACGAGTATTTGATGCTCTGTCTCCCTCAGCTTCATAGTTCTAGAAGAATATTCCACAACACAATTTGATACCAACAACGCAACACCAACTACTTTGATACCCCAAAAACCCGAGCATCAACCTTTTGTATTATCACTCTCAACGTCTCTTGATACCACTTCAACTTTAACAAGTTAATCAGCAAACATGGGTTTGGGAGCTAAAATCAAGAACGCGCTCCACAGCGACGACCAGCCTCAGAAGACCACGTACGAGGGTGACCAGCCACCAGGAGCATTCCCCTCCGACTCTACTACCGCCGGAACCACCAAACACAACACCACCACGACCGGTGGATACACCGGAGGAACCACCGGAAGCCACACAACCGGTACCACCGGCACCACCGGTACTCACACCACCGGTACTCACCACGACCATCGCGGCGGACCTACGTCCGGTTTGACAGGGACCACCCATGGCACCACCCAGGACGCCACCCACGCCACAACCACCGGCCACACGGGAGGCCTGACTGGCAGCAACACCGCAGGATACAGCAACGTCAATGATCCCGATGGAGTTCATGGCCCACACGCCGGAAGAGCTGCAAACAAGCTGGATCCCAGAGTCGACTCAGACCGTGACCATCGCGGCGCGCCTGGCGTTGGTCTCTCCGGCACCCACCGCCCCCATGACTCCGGTGTCGAAGTCGGTCAAGGAGTTGGCCGCAACAAGCCCTACAAGGGCGAGTATCTCGCCAATGCCGAGCGCGCCAACGCCCAGGACCCTTACTGGGGTGATGTTGGCCGCGATGGCGCCACTGTCAACAAGGACTTGCCGCTCCGCCCCAACGAGTCTGGCATTGGCCGAGGGGGTCCTCAGGCCGTTGGTGGAGGACATTATAATCCCGCGGCGTCCACTCACCACGACCCTGCCTCGGGTGTCGATCGATCAGTTGAGGGTCGCGACTTCACTCACCCAAACGGCCCCAACACCGGAGTTGGCGGTGCTAGTGGTGATCCCTACAGCGGCGTTCATAGCGCCGCACACAACCCTCAGGCGGCTCTGTCTGGCGGCAACGCCAGCGACCCGTACGACACTCGCGTGAGAGATAGAGACATGGGCCGTGAACGCACCGGTCACGGAGCCGCTGGCGCCGGTATCGGTGCCGGCGTTGGTGCCGGCGTCGCCGTGGCTGCTGGTCAGGCTGCCCACAGACATCACCGCGACGACATGCACGAGTCTGGCCACGGAGGTACCAACACGGTTGGCAGCGTCAACTCTCCCGTTGCTCACAACACACATGGAACTGACGTCGGTGTCACTGGCACCCACGCTGGAGGTGTTCACGGCCACCACCGTTCCAGCCTTACCGGCAACGAGCCAGGCGTTCCTAAGAGCAGCATGCTCGACCCTTACAACGAGGCTCCTACCGCCACTCTTGGTACTCATAGTGCTCACGGCACTCACGGCACTCACGGCACTCATGGTAACGTCGCTGGCACTGGCGGTGTTCTCGGAGGACACACTGGATCTTCCTCGCTGAACCAAGGTACGCAATCCTCCCATGTCCCTGGCACAAGCGGTCTGGGACCCAACGGAATGGGCCCTGACCATTACGGCCCAGGACATGAGGGAGCCAAGGTTTTCCACACCTGCACCAAGTGCGGCGAGGACAACGATATCAGCAGATACTTCAAGAAGGATGCTGTTTACCGTATGAACTAGGGGGGTTATGATAGCGAGCATTGTATATCCTGTTGTATTCATAGTTAACTCATGATGATCATGACCATAATGGCACTGTTACGTTACCACACACTCACTTCTCTTGATACACATTTGGCCAATCTTCTTGGCTTTCCGTCACATTATTAATCACTGCTCATACCGTATATAACTGGCGAACCTTCCGCGCAGTAATTGCAAAATCTTTTCACTTCAATGCGAAATATGCCTTTCCCCTTTGAGTACTGAAACTAAGCCTTGGGTTAAATCGAATGGACCAAGTAATCACCACCGTCTTTTCCAGCGGATTCTCATGTCCCTATCTGGCGGGACAGCTCCCGCGCCAACGTATGCCTTGTCATTCATAGCCGGCCTCTCGGAAAGCGACCCATCAAAGTTGACCCAATCCTCGAATTCAATCTCGAAGCGAGACGCAATCATCGCGACGGCCAACATGATCTCCTGCTTGGCAAAAAAGCGCCCCGGGCACATGGATACGCCGCCACCTATCACATAAACATTAATGGTCCGAGGAGTACGGCTGGTATAGTCATCCACAACTTACCGTAGGGGAAGAAGTCACTGGGTCTTCCGGCCATGACAAATTCTTTGACTTTCTGGACTTGACCGTTTTCATCTTCCTTCTCGACGTATTGAATATGACGTTCCGCCCAGAATTCCGACGCAGGATGCCCCTCCACACCCCATACCGACTCTTCGCGATGGCCAATTTGGGTGGGTGCTTGAATCAAGGAGCCTTTGCTGAGATGATATCCATCCAACTCCATTGGCTCCATGACTTCACGAGTGATATTGATGGACACGTGCATCCGAAGTGTCTCGAGATAAATCGACTGGAGTAGGGGTAGGGTAACAAGCTTTGCCAGATCAAAAGTCGGTTTTCCTGTCTTGGGGTCGGTGATGGAGACCGAATCAACCTCTTGGCGGACCGCTTGGAAGAGCGACCGGTCTCTGATCACTTCCATAACGGCCCAGGCGCTCTGGGGAACGGAGTTCGAGTTGATACTAGTAGAAGCATCAGTAAAATTGGCCCTGACAGCAGATCACACTCTTGATGCCGCACCCGGTGATACTTCCAATGTACATTCCCGCACGCGACTGAAGGGCAAACCCATTCTTCTCCCAAAACTTGGAATGTTCTCGTTGGAGTCTCGAGCCAAAGATGGGCTCCCAGTCTGCATCAGCATCCGGACCGTTCCAGTCAAACTTGGCCCATGCGTCTGTCAGGAAATCCGACATCATGGCCAGGGCTTTGCGCTGAACCTGTTTTGGCTTTGGATTGATCCAAGTCGGTAGGCCGTACATGAGCTGCATTGCAACCGTATCGAATTCCCAAAATACATCGATGAATTCCGGATGATCCTCAATCAGCTTGCGCCCCGCGAGGGAGATCGTCGCCGCTTCTGCCATGTCCTTCTTGAGATACTTGAACAGTTGCAAGGTCTTCCACTCACCCAGTGGCTGCTGGCCGAGCCTCTCGCCGAAAAAGGTGATGAACGTCTCCGCGAGCCTTGCGGTAGCCTCGGCGCGGAACAGGTGCTCGTTGAAGAGGTGATGCAACGCAAACCAGTGCCTCTGGTTCTCCGGCCTGCTCTCATTTCCCGCCGCCGGCATCTTCAGACGACCAGATTTATCATTGTACATTACCGCGACATCCTCATCGATCATCCCCTGCACTCGCCCGTTGACCATGACGATGAACTTGTCTGAGCTGAGCGTGTTATTCGAACTGTTGCGGAATAGCTTCTGGACATTGTGAGAGCCCGCGACCAGGTAAACGTTCTCGGTGCCAAGGTTGAACTTCACGACACTGCTTTTCTTCAATGCTTCGGTCGCACGTTCGAGGAATCTGCTGTTGTCGGTGATGTATTGGTACGTGTTTGAAACGTAGGGAATGAGGCCCGGCAAGCTCGGAGGCTCATTTGCTTTTGGTCGGAAGACACGACGAAGGACCACCACGCCCAGGAGTGGTAGCAATAACCAGGTGATGATGAGCGATGTCGCATGTTGTTGGAGTGACTCTAAAAGCCCCTGAGATTGGCCCAGTGCGTCGGAAGTATTAGTTGAAGCCATCACTAGCCTAGATGCTCTAGTCAATGAGATGAATATTCGAGGTTGGAAAGGAGCTGCAGTAAAGAAATGAGGGGTAGATCGACACCTTTGTCTGAGACGCACCATTTCTTCATCCGAAGTTAAACTTTGATTGTCCCGCCGGTGCGTATCGCTCTATCGCTGGCTTGGGAACGTTACACTGAACCCATTCGAATCGTCATGAACAGGGATCAGCCAATCCTTCACGAAAACGTCGTAGCCAGGAACGCGTTGAAATGCACGAATACAGCATCCTCGAATGGCTTCGAATGCTCACTTGTCTCCCCAGCCGATCCAATCAGTTAGGTAGGCGCCAAGATGAAGGCGCCAAGATGAAGGATTGCGCAAGAACTGAATGCCACCAACCCGAAGCCTGTTCAAGCAAACAATCGAGGGGTGTAAGCATCATGTTTTTGATGACGGTGGACGACCTGGATCCGGCGCTTGTGGTGCATCGCAACGCAGCCCACATCTTTCTACTCTTTTGTCCAAGTGACATCTGATGCGCAAATGTCATGGACGGTTTGAGGTCTCCAGGTATTCAGTGTTTGTCTCGATACTATGCTCCAAAGAGATCCCACCCGGCCGACCCAGTCTCTTCAAACGGCTCTCCGCCCTCACAGTAGTAGGCTTGACTGTGACAAGGTATTCTTCGTTGTGGAAGTTGCCGGCAAACCTTATGTCGGTATCATGCGTCCCGAAAATAGCCAAGATTATATCCCAGTTCATCGGGCAGGCAAAAGCGAAACTAGGTTCGCCGTTAACACCGGGCAGAATAACTGCTGCAACGTGTGGAGCAGCATCATCCTCAACATCGACGAAGTAGTGAGGAAGATGCCAAGGCTGCGGGAGAGTCTTTTCCCCTAAAGGCTCAATAATGAAGCCGAACGAGGATGAGCCTTTCAGTATGAGCAGGGTCAATGCCTCTTCCAAAGTTGAAGTCCGGGATGACTACAGATTGAACAGATGTTAGCATGAACGAGTAAGACGTAGTCAAAGCTCATTTCCAGACACATGAGACGGCATTGAGATGCTGGCTTACTTAATTTGATCACAATATCCGGGCGATCCGTCTTGTTCTCTCCATAGAATTTCCATATGATGTACTCTTGCTCCATCTTGCTTGCGCCGTAGATTGCCACGCCGTGCTCGACGCTCCAAGCAGGAGGGGCCCAAGCCAGCTCTTTCGCGTCGTGCGCTTAGGTATCTATGTCCGCTTCCTGGGACTGGAGGATTAAGTAGTTGTCTTCTCGAGCAGTATAAGCGTCGAGGCTGATGAAGCCAGGACGAATCGCTTCATAGTTAGTTCTTTATATGCTGCCCCGGTGGCGATCATCCCACATTTGACTGCATCTCCAATCACTTTGACTGGATCGTCGTTGAATTCAATGGCGGTGGTATTGTGCACAAAGATAGTGGTACCTGAGCTATTTGGTTAGAGTTCCATACAAGCGAGGAGAAAAGTCCACGGTATAGAGAACCGATGAGTTGTCAGAGCTTCGTGCTGTGCTAGTAAGGCGTAGCATCACTCGCCTTTGACAACCTTGTCGTACGTGCCGTCAATTTGCATATCAGGAACAACGTGAATTTCAAATTTCCCTTTGGCGTATGCCTTTTCAAAGTGTGTGACAAGCCAGGGATACTTCTTCAGGTTACGGATCGTTCCACGGACTCTGTGGCCAAGTCAATTGGACTGGATATGGACAACTATCCAGCCTTTGTAGCCGGCCAGAGAAAATAACGATCTCCGTCAGGCGGGTCGTTAAATCGAGCTCAACGGAAGGCCGCCGAAACATCAACGGAGCGGAGACGGCGGGTTTTATCCGTCTATTGTCCACCTCTCTCGGCAGTCCGAATAGGACACTACATCTCTTCCGTTCGAGTTACTCGGCCATTCCAATCGGCATTTATTAACTGGGCTTCTCTCGCAAAATTTGTTTCCCCGGAGATCTGGTTTGCATAACTTCACGTAGCACCACATGCTTCCTCAATCTTGACTAGAGGACCCAAACTGTGTTATCTCATGAATGAGCTGGAAAATTTTCTTAGCACATCGTGCACCGAATTGTCCTCTGAAAACCGCTTCATTCTCCATTCAAGGTAGAATCAATGCTCCACTACCTTTCTGAGCGGGCTGAGCTAAGCATACTGCTCCGATGGTGTGTGGGTTGGATACAGCGTAAGCTCCGTCATGATGCATGAAACCCTAGCATAGCTGAACGCCAGCGGAGGTTAGCCCCGAGGACCGTAGTATGTAAGCAAGGCTCTGAAAGATTTGATTATCGCAAAGTTCCCCAGCATCAAACCCTTCAAGTAACAACTGTCACTCGTCACCGACATAGAATGACCTCAAAGCATCTTACATTAGCGAGAGTCGGTGAACCCATCAACTTCCAACACTAGAGCGCTGCATGACTATTCCAATTCAGCGCCGAAAACATGGCAAACAAGCCTAAGCAAATCCGTTTCGAAGAGGATGGGTTTGAGGATTGGTCAGACTCGCCGGCTTCGCCTCTGCCGTCACCTACGCCCAGCGTCGGTTCATTCCATCGAGGCTCTCGCCCAAAACAAGGCACAACGCGAATTCCCTCAAGAATTGTGTCCAAGCGCGCTTTGATCGAATTAGAGTATCCTTTCGCCGAAGATGGGGACACAATTGTTGTTCAGCTGGCACTCGGAGAGGATCACATCACTGAGCTTCTTGAGCTGAGCAAAAGGATTCGGAGCTCAGACCAAGGGACTTCAGAAGTAGGAGACAATGGTGAATTTGACCAACAAGAGAGAGACCGAGGCTTTGACTGGATCAACGTGGACGCACACGCTCCGGAAACGCCAAGTCCGAACGCGCGCAGGGGCGAGGAATTCTATGAAGACATTGAATCCACATTGGAAGACACAGATTGGGATCGGGACGATCTTGAAGGCCCAGTGATCCATTCCGGAGTTCTGAATCTTAACAGCGCGAAATCATCGATGGACAACAACATGGACTCCACTGCCGGGCGACTTTTGGCTTGGAATCAGGAAACGTCAGAACTGATCAACGGTGCTGTTACGCAGCTCAATACAGCGCATGCAGCAGAGTTTTATATGGATCGCGCCGGCAATCAAAAGGTCACTCTCGTCTGTCCAGAAGACTATGAATTCGGGGTTACAGACGAATCTCTGGTTCGCTTGAGATGGCTGTGAGCATTTTTCAAGTCACACAGGGAGTTTCAGAACTAAAGGAAATCAGCCACGTACAAGCCCAGTCTTTGAATATTAAGACACTGAAGGTGAGGTCTGCGAAGCGATGGAGGATGAACAGGTTTAGGAACAGAATCGTTTACTGACCAACCAAGACTCTAGTAGGGGACTGTCCATACATCTCTCAATCATTAAGACTGGTTGCACTTGCAGTTCTCAAAGAAGTCACGGCAAGATGTGAGAGGTCTTCAGAAAATGGATCCTACATCGAGCCTGGCTCAATAATTCAATACATCGGAAGATACGACAGCTCACTTGGGATATATGAGTATGAAGACATGTTTGATACCGAGCCTGTTGTCTTCATTTCTGCACCGCACCTCCTTCTCACCGACGAGTCTTCCGGCAAAAGGTTCCACGAAAACCACTATATGAGGAGTCTTCGTGAGGTTCTCTATGGTTATGACGACGAAACACGACATAAGACTGACTCTCGTGGTCGCAAATTCCCATTTGATGGATTACGGCAATACCAGCTCCAGGTTCCTCAGCTTTGGTCCTTGGTGGTTGGTGCAGGTAAGTAATATCCCCGCACTTTGGAAATTGTCCCCGATGGGGGATGTAAAAGACTTTTGCTTACTGATCCCAACTGTCTTAGATCTGATCATAACCTTTTCAGAATTACCGTCACTGGAATTACAACGGAACCTCATTACCGTCGATCGGACAAGGTCGTCTGCAGGAATATACACGATTAGGCTCATTGATGAAAAAGACATGTGCCGGTATCATGTTGTCGTCAAAGCAGATTGCAAATACGCAGTGAGCACTTAATCTCAACCTCATCTTGCTGGGTCTTTTTCTGAAACATTATAGGACTTTCTCAAACATGCGATGGCATTGGCATTCAAGGGTCAAGGCCGCTTGAATGCAGCTGCCTTCGTGCTGGTCGATGATAGTTTTCGCACAATCACAGCGGACATCTGGTTGGACTTGCTTGCAAGCGAGACCATTGAAAACTATGTCTTCAGCATTCGGGAAAAGCACGAGGGGCAGCGGGGGTCGAACGATGAGTTTCGTGCCCTGTCAGAGAAGCTCCTCACCGCGGGAAGTCGGAGCAGCCTAGGTAGCCGCAGAGACTCACGCCGGAGGTAAGACACACGCAAGATTCCGCGTTTGATTGGACTCAATTCTGAAGCTTTTCTAGTTCATTTCGATCCGAATCCAGAGCTGCAAACTTCGACATGCAGATGGTTCTGCATCCCGGTATGTGGGAATATGGCGGTGACGACTCTCCGAGTCCTTCAGAAGACGGGCTGGAGTTTGAGGACGACCTGCTTGAAACTTCCACCATGTCGTTTGAATCACATTTGGGCGTCGACAATTCCTCACTCGACGGCACAGTTGACTTGACTACATCCATGTCAGAAACAAGCTTCAGGTTGAGAAACACAGCCACCTTTGACTCCTCCGTCTCGCTCGGAGGGGTTGAGGTACCGAAACTTTTCAAACTAGGCAAAGAAATAGAGCATCCAGCTCAGCCGAATGGAGTAGTACGTTGAAGCATCTCATTCATCCCCTAGAACACGCTAATGGTGACTCTGTTTATAGACTGGGAGTCCCAAATCGCAGCCTGGGCAATCAGCTTCTAATGGTATCAATGAGACAAGATTCACTCTTCCGCGAAGACAAACGTCTCGATCTTTCTCCAATGGCGCTGGAGGGTCTGATTTCACGCCCGACATTCAGGAAGGGTCACGGCGTAGACGGAGTCGAAGCCGTTCGAGGACTTCAAGCTTCACTTATGCCCGTGACTCACCACTAGAGGCAGAGCCACTCCCGAATTGGTTCAACGATCAGGAACACTTTAGACGGACCCGAAGCGACATGGATGCAAGCTCATACCACGGCTCGTGGACCAGACCAACTCCTGATCGTGAATTTGGAACGGGCTATTTCTCTGCAGGCCTACCGTCACTGAATCTAGCAGAAATGGATCCTGTACCCTTTCTGGCCTGGAGACTGACATGGGACGATGATAAGAGATCAAAATCCGAAATCGAACAGACGGTCTCTCAATTACTGGGAAAATTGAATGCGACCATGGAGTCGGAAAAAGTTGGCAAATGGTACAAGGCTTCATTTGAATGCACCAAGGACGAGCTTATCGAAAGATTGGCTGGTATGCTGCAATCATCCCAGACAGGATCAACCGGGAAAACGGCCGAGAAACCAAAGCAGTTTGAAGCGTCTGACCCTTCAGCGGATATTTTTCCGGAGGCTCCGGTCACTAATCAAAGATCAATGTCGGGGGCTGATCCTGATCTTCACGAACCAAATTCAGAAAACAGCACGAAACTTGAAGGGTCTACCAGAAGCTTCGTAGCCCAAGAGTCGACTCTATTTGGATCAACCGAGAATGGAGACAACAGCTTTGGCCCGAGTGCTGGATTCAACACACATTTCCGCCAACCTGTATCCAACACGTCACGCGACAGTTTCGGATTGAGTGATGATCCTTGGATAATGACGGATTCTACAGGAAACTTTGAAGATTTTCTATTGTCGAGAATATTCAGCGTTTCCCAAAGTATCCTTGGCGCCTTCCTTCCAAATGAGGGACGCCTCGTTCATCATCCGGTATGCAAGCGATTCTGGGGTTCGGTAGATGCAATTTTGAGGGTAAGAGCTTTGATTCCCCACAACTAGGCAACTCAATCCAAACGTGCATGTGTACACAAGTTTCCAGACTGACATCTGTCAGGGGCTCCGATGGTCGATCGATGAGCATAAAGAAACCGACGAGCAGTCCTGGTTCATATCACGGACGATTGAAGCCACTTTTCCGTATGGAGAGTCAGCCTCAGTTTCAGGCACAAGGGCTCAAGTAGATTGCGACGACTGCGATGAGTTGAAAGACTATCTGTCACCCGAAGAAGCACTCGAGCATTGGCATAAAATTCATATGAGGACTCCATGTCAACACCAAACCAAAAAGGGTAGGGTGTTTGATGACCCTTGTTTTGTTTGGATACGCCGGCAAAAAGCCAAAGAAACTTGGACCGTAAGACCGAGAAGGGCTTCGAAAAACGATGTCGCCTCAAGTCTTGATCTCTTTTATGGAGAACTTGAAGACATAGTTGACCGAATAGAAGAGCTTCATAAGCTGGTCACGAGCGTGACTGGGTTGGAAGATTCAACCAGCTGCAATGACGGCAGACCTCATCTCCCCAGCAGCCTCGTCGAGGCTTTCGAGCGGATCGTTGCCTTGTTCATCTTGAAGGCCAAAGAAATTTCATGGATGAACAGATTCGCTGCCACTTCTGAGTCGTCATACGGCCAGCACGCCGAACAACGTTTGTTGGGCCTAAAGAGAAGCGGAGCCGCAACATCAGAACGCGTCCGCAATCACCTCGACCGGGCCAAGGAGGACATAATCCTACTAGGGACAAGCAAGGGAGACACGGAGAGAATCATCATTGCTCCTATAGGGCCTGAATTTCTGGCAGCTTCTTTGATTAGCCATCTACAGAACAATATCTCCGTCCAAGGCACCGACGAAAAGTTGGATCTCATCAGCCATTACCGGAACTATACCGCCAGACTCCGATTCAACACCAACCGAAAACCGAAAAGGGAGGCTTTTGTAGAGATCCACGCCCTCGAAGAAGAATTGGAAGCTTTGCAAATGGTGGTCGCCTCGCAACAAGGTCTATTGAGAGCTTACCAGAAGCTATTCTCTCCTCTAACATTCAAGTATCCCACAACCGATTGGATGTATTACAAGGAAAGAAAATCTTTGTTCAAGCTTGAGAGCAAGTGCGTGCGCAGACAACAACGTCGATTAGCGGAACGCGACAGAGCACTTGGGATCCTCCGAAAGAAGGTTAGGGTGTTGAGAGACGACACGAAGCAGAGGATTGAGATCCTCGACGAGGGTCATGGAAAGGCAATCCGAGTGTTCACGATAGTAACGTTGTTCTTTTTGCCCCTGTAAGTTACCTTCATGCAACGTTGACGTAATTCATCGTACAGCTGAAGACATGCTGATGGTGATCCCTAGGTCATTCGTCACAAGCTTTTTCGGAATGAACACTATCGACATTAGAGATACCAACTACGACCAGAGGATGTTTTGGACATCGGCCCTGCCTCTCACGTTTGGAGTTATAGGCCTGGCATTTCTGTATGGCTACAAGTGGGATCTGATCGCGGCATGGGCAACCGGGACTTTTACATCAGCCAAAAAAGGCACGACTACACACGACTTCCCAAAAGAGAAAGCCTTGACCTGGACGACTACAGCGGAGCAAAAAGACGACTGGTTGCCAAATCATGGAAGAGCCAGCGTATTAGGATGGAGGTACAGGATTTCGTATCTTTCCGCACGACAACGGCAGAGGAAGGGCAGAGTTCCTAGGAAGAAGACGGAGGATAGCTTGTTTCGGCCATAGCCGTCGTTGTAGAAACCTCTTGAATTCACGCAAAAGCCTCGTCCATTCGTTTGATGTGAAAGGTCTTTTGAAATTGAAATCAAGCAAAATGCCTGTATTGTTTTTCGAATAAATAAAACTTAGTGGGCATGGTATCTTTAAGGTGCGACAGGTGGCTTCTTCGTATCCTCTTCTGACTGCTCGCGTTCCTGGCCATCTGCATCGAACAGCGTTTCTTGGGCTACGCAAGATGTTAGTCAGGCTGGCATCGGCAACGACAGCGAGTAACTTACCACTCCAGAGCTCAGCGTAAAGTCCACCCCTGTCAATCAGCTCTCGGTGGGTGCCCTTCTCGGCGACATTGCCCTCCTTCAGCACGATAATGAGGTCTGCGTCAAAGATGGTGCGCAATCTGTGGGCAACAAACACACTGGTCCGTGACTTTTCACGCAGAATGCTGTTAATGTTGAGCATGAGGGCCTGCTCAGTGTGGGTATCCAAGGCGCTGGTGGCCTCGTCGAAGAAGAGCAGAGGCGGGTCCTTGAGAAGGAGTCTGCTGACGGCTAGACGTTGCTTCTCTCCGCCGGAGATCATCAAGCCACGCTCTCCCACCTTGGTCTGGTATCCGTCGGGGAAGCGCTCGATGATGTCATGGATGCGCGCGCGTTGAGCAGCGGCGATGACGCGCTCTTGGGGTGCCGACATGTCGCCGTATCGGATGTTGTGCTCGATGGTATCGTTGAAAAGCGGGGTGTCCTGAGGAACGACACCAATGGCCCGGCGAAGAGAGTCCACTTGGACTTGGCGGATGTCCTGGTCGTCGACAAAGATGCGGCCAGACTGCGCGTCGTAGGAGCGGAACAGGAGGCGGAGAAGGGTGGACTTGCCACAACCGCTGGGGCCGACTATGGCGACCTTTTTGCCGGCAGGGATGGTAAGAGACAGGTTGCGGAGGATGGGGCGATCGGGGTGGTAGCCAAAGGTGACGTTTTCGAACTTGATCTGGCCACCCTTGGATAGGGCAAGTGGCTTCGCATTCGGCTCGTCCTTGATGGAGACGTTGACCTTTTGCAGATTGAAGAGCGTCTCCATGTCGAGCAGTGACTGGCGCAGCTCACGGTACACGGAGCCGAGGAAGTTGAGAGGTACTGAAAGCTGGAACACGAGCTGGTTGACCATGACCAGGTCGCCGACGGTTAGCGTGCCCTGGGCAACGCCATTAGCAGCCAAGTACATCATAGCCGTCAGCGCCGAGGAGAAGATGATGTTCTGTCCGCTGTTGAGGAAAGCTAGCGAGGTCGCGACCTTGATGGAGCTCTTCTCATATGCCTGCAGAGCCTGGTCGTATCTCGCAACCTCGAACTTTTCATTGTTGAAGTACTTGACGGCCTCGTAGTTGATCAACGAGTCGACGGCAACGGTCGACGCCTTGTTGTCGGCCGCGTTGGCTTGTCTCCTGAACTTTGTTCTCCAGGCCGTCGTCCAGATGGTGAAGGCTGTATACCCCACCATGGTGAGCACCGTGATGGCGGCGAATTTGGCACCGTACTGGTACGTCAAGATGCCGCAAACCATTGAGATTTCTAGGGCAGTTGGGAGAATGTGGAATACCATGCTCGTCAGCAAGAAGCTTATGCCCTTGGTACCGCGATCGATCGCCCTCGTCAGCCCGCCGGTCTGCTTGGACAGATGGAAGCTGAGGTCCAACCGCAGCAGGTGGTCAAAAACATTGCAGGCGACTCGGCGAATGGCTTTCTGGGCGACGGAGGCAAACACGGCATTTCGGAGCTCCTGGAAGATTGTCGCACCTATCCTCGTCGCGCCGTACGCCAGGATCATGCTCCCCGCTATTGTCACCGCCGTGCCGCCGGTCGCGCCAAAGTCGATATTCATGGAATCCACGATGCTCTTGAAGTAGAAGGGAACCTGCACGTTGAGAACCTTTGCGCCAATCAACAAGGAGACGGCCAATCCGACACGGAACTTGGTGCTCAGGCTATCTTTGGGCCACAGATACCGCGACATTTCCTTCATGATGGCCCAGTCGGCCTTGCGCTGCTCCTGTGTGGACTTTTCAGGTGTTGCCAAGGGATCGACGGCGGTACTCTTCTTCGCCTTGGCAGGCTCAGCCTGGAGCGGTTGTCCCGCGGCCTTATCGACGCCATTATCGAGTTTTGTCGTCGCCGGCGGCTTCGGCTGGTCTCGTCTCGAAGGTGCGCTCGTCTGGAAGATGCGGATGGGGGCCCGAGGGCTTTGAGGGAGCCATGCTGGGCGGTAGAATTGGGTGTGGGAGATACCTCGAGGGCAGGCCAAAGGAGCCTTGGTGATGGCTCGGATGATCATCGTAATCGTGCTCTGCGCCGCAACTCGATCATCTTCCTCGCGGGTTCTGCGGCGGGGTGTGTCAGCGATGGCGGGGGTGGACGGAGCTGGGCCGAGCTATCGACAAACGATCCGATCCCGGGGGCGGCGCGGGCGGGTTGCTTCGGAGGAGGGAAATTGACGCAGCTCACCGCAATTGAAGGATTCAAACAGCAGATAGAAGACCGGTGTTGGTCACGGGATGGTGCGGGAGGGGAAGGGAAACAGCTCGAGAAATTGGACGTGGTTGAGTGGCAGACATGGCGATGATGCACAACAAGGCGTAAAAGTCGCAAGCACCGGGCTCGGCATTGTCGAGCGCTTCGGCCGGGATGATGCAATCGCCGGCGCCTAAGGCACCTTGAGAGCCCACCTGATTGATATTCACACCGAACACACCCCACACACACCGAGGCCAGCAAGGTGCACGGTCGCTCACCGAGATCTACCGAGATCCACCGAAAACCAGCCAAGGTCTGCAGGTACACCGAGAATGGTCAGCCACTCTCACGCTGGAACTGCGTAAAACCAGCCCCAACTTGATCAAAAGGGGGGCTGAATGTGCTAGAATGGCATCAAACGCTTCTCCCAGTATTATGAGGGTAGAGGAATTGAAGCTGAAGAACATCAGCCATAAATTTGCTCAACCTCAGTGTCAATACTTCAAGTCAAAGTTGCAAATTATGCCGTGTTAACAGTGCCAGCGCAGTAGTGGAGTTGACACAGGCATCATCAACCGGGGAATCCGGCCTCTTAAAACAACGTCGAATTAGCTGAGCTTCGGTTATCGCCTTCTCGGGCGGTAGGCTAGAGTCATGTCCGGACTCCAGTGCTACTCACCCGGTGTTGGAACCGTTGTCAGTTCGTCGTCATCGAGGTTCCCATTTTCTATTTCCAGCGCGAGGTCGAATGCATCTTCGGGCTCACACGCCGTTCTTCGGTCCCGAGGCGCTGTTGAACCGGTAGCGGCACGGCGGGCCGCGGCGACTCATGTAAACAATTGACTGGGACCCTCGTAAAATTTTGATTATCGATGTTGGCCTCATCCGTAGTCTGCCTCGCCTTGGCTTAATGTCAAGACAACTTACCATCAGCCCCTCGGACGTACCCAAAGCTTTGCCTCGTAACCACGCGCATCTGGCTCGATGAACCGGCCGTAGTGGCCAGACCAAAGGGCATCTACGAGAGGATTCTGGCTAAGTTACAGGTGAGCGTCTGTCAAGACTCCAGACTTGGGACTCGGATTGTACCACGCCTAGCTTCCATGTAATGACATTGCCATGCAAAATGGCGCATTGTTGAATCCTTGCTACCATCCATGTGGTTTAGGTAGTCTGCAGGTGTCAAGATCGACTCCGGGATCTGATATCTCGTTTAGAACATCAAGCATCTAGCCCGGTTACCCCCAAAGGCGAGACCACCTCCCTTCCGAATCCCCGGAGAACAGCATTATTCGAGGATCCGCTACGGGGGTAGCCACGCGTCGGATACGGACGCCACGGACATTCGGATTTCCCGGTATGAGGTCCGGGTTGTCCGCCGTGATGGAAGAGAATTCTCCCATACAGTTGACCCTGGGAAATCGGAAGACTCCGGAGTATAGCCACTTAAAGACCATTGGAGATGGAGCTCAAATGTGGCCCGCTCCGCAGCCTTAATTTATCGTGATTCTCTTGGTAGTGCGCGATATCGCCACTCGGCGCCGCCTGAACTCTCGACCAACTGAAATGAAATGTGATGGTCAACAGCTCGACTTAGAATTACTGTAAAATCGCAAGAAAATACACAGATAATAGCGTCAGGCTTGAAGAAGATTCTGAGTAAACATTTAATATTCTTTCTGTGATCTAGGGTGTTGATGAATAAGACCTTGAGAGTAAGACTGAGACCGCAACCCGGCGACGGGAGTGCGTATCCCAGAATCCCCCACATGCTGGGTCGTGGAACTTCGCCGATGCATGGGGCTCGCCGTGGATCATCATCACCACGAACTACGGAGCTAAGCTCGCGAGTGGGCGCTATCGCCCCATCGGACGCGCAAAGAGGACGGCGGGGCATAGAATCGCACTCCAGAGGAAACGCGAGGACAAGCAGGAAACACTTCTTATATAAGTTGGGACGTTTCGCCAAGATGCAGACTTGAGATGAACACCCATCAGCCAGTTCATTCTTTTGCTCCATCCCTTAGTAAATAATCGATTTGCCCAGCATGAGGGTTTGTACTTCTGCGGGTGCGCTCGCCGCTTTTTCCATCTTTTCTTCTACATTTGCTGCTTCCAACTCCTCTTCCGCCCTCACCAACGCCATCCTCGCTGATGGATATGGTATGTAAATGCCCCTATACATGTGATAGTCTACCACTTATACCTGAGTCCTCGTACACAGTTTCCCTTGGTCGTTTCGATGATGCCTATCAGAAGGCCAAGGCCTTCGTGGCGACCCTCGACACCGCCGCAAAGGTCTCCATCATCACTGGACAGAGCGTTACCGGCAACGCCACCTGGGCCGCCCTGAACCAAAAGGATGGTGTCTCCGGCGTCGATTGGCAGTTCTACGTCTCCGGCTTCAGCATGGCCAACGCCCTGGGCATGAGCTGGAACCGTCAACTCATCGAAGACCAGTTCAAGGCCCTCGGTGACGAGTTCTACGGCATGGGCTACAACCTCATCAACGGACCCGAGACTGGCCCGCTCGGCCGCACCCCTTACGGTGGAAGAACCCCCGAGACCTTTGCTTCCGACCCCTACCTTGCCGGTATTGCCATGGCCAAGGGCATCTCCGGCATGAACTCTGCCGGTGTCATCGCCGGTGGCCGCCACTTCCTCCTCAACGAGCAGGAGACCAACCGAACCGCCCTCACCTCGGCCACCACCACCAGTGTCTACTCTTCCAACGCCGATGACAAGACTATCCATGAGCTCTACTCCTGGCCCTTTGCCGACGGTGTCCAGGCAGGTATGATGGCCGTCATGTGCGGTATGACCCGCGTCAACGGAACCCTCTCTTGCGAGAACAACAAGCTCGTCAGCAAGCTTCTCAAGAAGGAGTTTGGTTTCCTCGGTCTCGTCTTCCCCGACGTCAACTCTCAGGCCACCTCCTACGGCTCCGCCAACGCCGGTCTCGACTACGGCTCTAGCACCTTCTGGACCGAGGACATCCTCAACGCCGGCATCAAGAACGGCAGCTTCACCCAGGCCCGTCTCGACGATATGGTCGTCCGCAACGTCATCGGATACTACTACGTCGGCCTCGACGACGGCAAGCAGCCCTCCATGGCCCCCACCACCGAGTACCGTGACGTGCGCGGTAACCACTCAAAGCTCATCCGACAGGTTGCCGGCGAGTCCATCGTCCTGCTCAAGAACTCCAACGCCCCAGGCCTCGGTCTCCCTCTCCAGAAGCCTCGCACCATCTCCCTCTTCGGAGCCCACGCCGGCCCTGCTCTTGTCGGTCCCAACCAGGGTTTCACCGTTCAGGGTGCCGCCAGCGACGTCTACCAGGGTCACCTTGTCTCCGGCATTGCCTCCGGCGCGCTCTCGCTCCCATACTTGGTCACCCCTTTCCAGGCACTCACCCAGCGCGCCATTGACGACAACAGCATGATCTGGTGGCTCATGAACAACACCTACACCTCTAATACCGTTCCTGGTCCCTTCAACTCCCTTGGCGAGGGTACGGCCCTGACCCCTTCCTACACCAACTACGCTGAGAACTCCGAGGTCTGCATTGCTTTCATCAACGCCTACTCTGGTGAGGGTGGCGACCGCAGACGCCTGTACGATGACGACCAGGATGCCATGATCACCACCGTCGCTTCCAACTGCAAAAACACCGTCGTCGTCGTCAATGCCGCCGGCCCCCGCATCCTCGACGCCTGGATCGACCACGAGAACATCACCGCCGTTCTTTACTCTGGTCTTCTCGGCCAGGAGAGTGGTAACGCAATTGCTGATGTCTTGTACGGCGACGTCAACCCCAGCGGCAAGCTGACCCACACTATCGCCAAGAAGGCCGATGACTACCCCGTCTCCATCTGCTACACCGAGGACTGCAACTTCACCGAGGGCGTCTTCATCGATTACCGCTACTTCGACTCCAAGAACAAAACCGTCCGCTACCCCTTCGGCCACGGCCTCAGCTACACCACCTTCGCCTACGGCAAGGTCGACGCCAAGGTAACCAACCAGACCGCCGCCGACTCCAAGTACCCGACCGGCACCCTCGTCCCCGGCGGCGAGGAGGACTTATTCGAGGAGGTCATCAGCGTCAAGACCAACATCAAGAACGACGGCGGCATCCAGGGCGCCGAGGTTGCCCAGCTGTACATCAGCTTCCCCACCGAGGCCGCCCAACCCCCCCGCATCCTCCGCGGTTTCGAAAAGATCAACCTCGCCCCCGGTGCTGCCGGCGACGTGACCTTCAGCGTCCGCAGACGTGATGTGAGCTACTGGGACACCGCTGCCCAGAAGTGGGCTATCGCCAGGGGCAAGTACACCTTCTCCGTCGGCTCCAGCTCGCGCGACATCCGCGCCTCCGCGGACATCACCATCTAAAGCAAAAATTTGCCTCTTTTCTCTGCATTTACCTCTTTCAGAAATCAACTGTACTTGGAGTTTTGGGATCGCTGTGTGCCATAGATATAGACTAGATACCTCTTCCTGAAATTTACCCTCTTCTCTAATACGTGCTACCTCGCTGTTGAATTTATCGTGACAAATGAACAAAGGACGCATCCTAACTTACTCTTTCTCGTGCAATACCTCTTTAAATGGAAAGAGTCACAGGCAGGTTTGCTTCTGTCCACCCGGGTCTTCATCTCGACTCAATCTAGTTCCCATAGCCACTGTCACGGGCAGGCACCCATAGCTTGTTGCAGTCCAACAACTGCAACATTGGAAATCCGTTTGCCGAACATTGGCAGTTCAAGCTATCAAGAGAATTTTCTAGATTGCTTTCTGCATTTATTCAGACCATAATATTCTCACATCGATTCTAGAAGTGTGACCCTCGCCTAAGACTGAAACTTTCTTGACCTCACCGAGTCTTCATGGCAACGGTATATGTATTCTCAAGTGTTTTATTGGTCTCCCATTATTGCAGCAGACGCTCTCATCTTTCGGTAGTCAAAGAAGGAACGTACGCATGTTCACATTCACTAGCATTGTAGAAGCTGTTGTTCACAATTTTGCACTGGCAATCTTCTGGAAAGTGAACGGCCAGACCCGACACACCCTGGTTGAACGGCAAGATGAACCGCTCAAATCACTCAGCAGCTACATCATTGCCACTCCATACTGATTTTAGAGAAGGAGCAGGAGCAAAACCTCAACAGAAACACATCAGTGGATGCAAGTGCAACCCAGTCTGTCCCCAAAAGATTGTGGTTCAGAAGCATCATTTTTGCCTCAGCAACCAAACCTAGCTCAGCTTCAACACGATTTCTGAGCCAAGTTTGAAGTGAGCAGGGAAAAAACTGCTGAGAAGGTTTCGAAGGTTTGGAACGCTCCCAAACAGCACCGAAGGACAAGAAATAACGCTTGTTGAGACACAGCCTGGCCGAGATAATTTCAACCCACTCCCTCATCCTACACCTACTTCCGAGTCTTCTAGGCAAGTAAGATACCCGGAGGCAATCAGCCAAGTCTACCCAAAATTTTACTCTAATCACAAAAGCGACTTTACACACAAAAGCCAACCAAAAAAATCCCATCCTTGGCATTAAACGGTCCCAAGGAATCAAGGCTATCATCATGAGTACCTTCGGAAGTAGCGATCACCGGTAAGTTATCAAAAGGAGGAGCGAACCAGGAAAGAGACGAACTGGCCTCGTGTCTGGGCTCACCACCCATGTTGCTACGCCGTCCAAAGCTTGCATCAGAAAACAAGGACCACTGGAAAAGTTCAGTATCAGCTAATCATATGAGCAGGCTCCTCAAAAGCGGCGTCTTCTCAGACTGCGAAGTGAAATGCGACGGCAAGACTTGGAAGCTTCACAAGTCGATCCTGTGCATTCGCTCTGGATACTTCAATAGCTGCCTCACGAATGGCTGGCCGGTGTGTACCTCGCGATGTCAAGACAAATGGAATAAAATAATTAGATCTAACCTCTCGATAGGAAGGCAAGACTGGCTGTGTTGAGATTACGCTCTTCACTAAGGAGCAGATGGACTGGATCATCTCCTACATCTACACTGGCAGTAAGCAGACTCCTGCTCACCTTGGTCCTCGACCTGATTCTCTCCTTCATACACGCAGCTTTCTGTTTTGTCTCCTTGCAAATGATAGAATATTGACTAATCCATACTCCGAAATAGAATTCGACTTTGATCGCCACTACAATAACAAGACGTTTCTCCACACAGCGGTGCAGCTCTGGACCTTGGGCGACTACTTTCTAGTGCGCAACCTCTGCGACGATGTGGAATGCAGACTCAGCGCCTTTATACCTCGGTCTCTGAACAACGCCATTCTCCGCGGATTCCAACTCGACGCCCAAGACTGGCTCAACGCCGGCCGACTGATTTACACCGACTTCAACGTTGTGGACAGCAAGCACGTTCTCAAGGCCGAATTCCTGAATCTTACGCTCGGTAAGACGTGGGCCCGCAAGCTGAACCTTCGGATGCCTGAGTTCAAGACCCTGTGCCAGAGCCACCCCAAGTTTGGAAATGACTGCATGGTCAAGCTTGTGGATGATGGCATTAGCAAGCTCCAGTGATATGACTACGTCTCCAGTCAAGCAGAGACTCTCGAGACCATCTAGCTCTCAGATGACTTCAGAGCTCGGATGAGTAGTCTTGGACGGGCTGCATACAGGTTGGAGGAGACCCGGGGAATTGAATTGCGATATGAGCTGTGATGGCACGGTGGATTCGGAGAAAGATACCAATTGCAACGAAGAAAACAAGGCCCACGATGCAGCCACAGAGATCCCACTGGACCTTTTTAGCCACCTTAGTTGAGCCTACAAAGAACGTCTAACTTCTAAGATCTCATTAATATCTTCTTCTGCTGATTGTGCTTTTCCCACCTTTTGGCGACACCGTAAACTTAGTCGTCAACCCCTTCCAGCTCACACTCAGACGAGGATCAGCAAAGGGCACCAAAACGGCAAACCTCATGCTTTATCCAAGGTTAGCAAACTACGGCGACCAAAGCCATCACAATGTACTGGTGAGGGGGAAGTGAGAACTTACGTATAGTTCCCAGGCGTCAATATACTCCCGTCACTCAACACTCCAAACCAGTAATACGTCGTCGTGTAGCCCCCCGTCGTCAACGCGTTCCTTCCAACATCCGTCTCAGGAAATGAGAAAATGTCGCTGGCGTTGTGGCGAGCAGGGTTGAAGCTTGAAGTTTTGCCGGCATAGGTCCAGGAAGTTGCAGAGCTGATGTAGCCTCGGCTCCCGGGCACGGGGGGATATTCCCAGTCTCGGGCTTCGTCAAAGTCGGATCCGTAGATCTTGGTTCCTTGAGTTAGTCTCCATGCAGAAAGAATCACGAAAATGAAGGGAAAGTGACGTGAACTTACATCCCACCGAACCTCTCTCGTACCCCACTTGACCTTCATGAACATCATGGGAAAGTCCTGTTTACCACTAGCGAGTTCGAAGCTGAAGCTAGACATGGAGTTAGATTCACTCGTGTCTCATCAACAGACTTCTCAGACTCACGTCGTCTTAGTGCTATACGCGCTCGTCGATCTCAACCACGGATACGTCCCGTGGAATGGGCTCTCCATCTGCTTCTGTAGGTCGAAAGCCAGTCCTTGATAGGGAACAGCAACGGTCTCCCCATTGCTACCCTTGACGAGGAGACGGCCACCGTAAGCCGGAAGAGCCGTCTGGTTCACACCCTCGGGCACGTCAAAGACGAATCTATCAGAGTCAGCATCATACCAAAAATCACATCTATCGAGGGGGGATACTCACTCTGCTCTCCTCTCCTCTCCAGGACCTAGCTCGAACTCCTCCGGCACCTTCGCCTTCGCGGAGATGTTACTAGGCACGATCTCCGGCCTATACCTCATCCTCGGTGTCTCCGCCGGATCCCGTCCATCAAACGCCTTGAGCATCTCGATCCCGGCCCAGTTATCAACCTCGAAACTGTACGTAACCGTCTCGTTGCCTCTATTCCTGACCACCACCCCTTGATCTGCACGGAAGTGAGCAGTATCATTCAGCCCGAACCTCACCAGCTCCAAGCTGGTGCCATACTGTACAACCTTTTTCGCGTCAACGAGTCCACCGCCGACTTGCTGCGAAGGCGCTCTATACGCCTCGTCCACATCCCCGCTATACAGCAACCACGGCAACGATGCCCCCGTCGAGATAATCCTCATACTCAGTTCCCTCGCGAAGCCCCTTCCGTGGACACCCCTCCCGCCATGCTGGGAGATATACAACGCCGCGACCCCAGCAATATACGGCGTAGCCATACTCGTCCCAGAAAGCAGCACAAACTGGTCGTCGTCCCCGCCAGGCCACGTACTAAACACGTCCGTCCCCGGCGCAGCAACGTCAGGCTTGACGGACAAATCATACAAGCCGCCCCAGCTCGAAAAATACGACGGCTGACGAACCTCTTCCCCCGTCGCCTCGTCCCGCTTCACCTCCGCGCTCGCCACGCTGAGAACGTTGTCGCCAGAACTGCCCGTGCTGGCATAGTACGCCCCGCCGTTGCCCGCGTTCCCCGCGCCAATCGTAACGACGACACCCTCGGCGGCGATCCGGCTCGCGACGACGGCCCAGGCGTCACTGGCGAACCCGCCTCGCCCGCCGATACTGGCAGTGATGACGTCCATCCCGTCATCGTACGCCCGGAGGAACGCGTCGATGATGGTCGCCTGGTCTGTCCCGTCGCCGGGTCCAAAGACTTTATACGCGTACAGACTCGCCTCCGGCGCGACCCCGACCCACCCCGAAGAAGGATCCTCTCCGGCGAGGATTCCCGCAACGTGCGTGCCGTGTCCTTGCTCGTCAGCCGGATCCGCGTCGGGACTCTTCTCGGCGCCCACGACCCATCCGTCGCCGACAAGGTCCCAGCCGCCGGCGACCTTGAACCCGGGACCGAATCCCGCACCGAGGGCGGAGTGCTTGTACCACACGCCCGTGTCAACGATACCAACCTTGACGCCTTGGCCGCGGACGCCTTGCTCGTGGAGGTCGTCGACGCCGGTGGCCCAGTGGACTGCGTGCGTGGCCGCCGCGCTGGGGTCGACGGCGACTTGTCGCTTGACGGGGGCGATTAACGTAGCTTTTGTATTCGGCCAGACGGCCACGATGTCGGGGAGGACACGGAGGGACTCGAGGGTGTGGTTCTCCGTCTCGAGACTTGCGCCGGAGAAGACGGACGATTCAAACGTTTTGAGGACTCGGATGCCTTCTGCGGAAGACAACTCGTCACGCTTGGTCTTTGTGTGGGTGCCCTGATTTTGTCAGTCGTGAGATACCAATGTCAAGCACATATATGGATGTACGGGCAAAGACTTGCGCTGGCGAATTCAATAATGAAGCGATTCGCTTCAATCTCGAGAGACTCTTGCTCGACGGTATCTTGCGCAGCGCCCTTGCCGACCAAGGCGAGGACAGACAAGAACCATACGCAGCGCATTCTGGCTGTCGGAAATCGCGTCCGTAATCACCTTGTCAAGTTTGCCGCAAGTGAGAAGCGCATCGCGTCGGGCACAGGGACAGCGAGTATCTCAGTCTATAAAAACATCGCGGTGGCGCATCACATCCTCCCCGGCACGCAGGTATCGCAGTCTCTGCCATGGCTAATCAATTGCCCCCGCATCTCGCGCGAGCAAGGGGCCCAAAAATGTGCTCGTTTCCTCTAGTCTTTAGATAATCCAACCTCGGACGAGGAAGCTCAAATAGGGAGGTCGAAAGCGGCACTGAGTCCGGTATCGCCAAATCAAGATGTGCCAAGACGATGTATAGATGGGGTCATGATTGGGAAGCTGAGCAACGTCGCCGAGACTTTGTAATACCTGTACCGCGAGTAAGAGCACAAACTCATCACATAACCTGCAAAGCCCAAAGATGCTCATCTTGAAATGAGACATGTCGGTTGCCTAACAAAGAGCATCGGGAACTGTGTTTCCAATCCGCAATTGTAGCATTCGCCAAGAGATCCACATGACTAGGATCTCGAATCTGCGCAAATATGCTCTTGGAAGGGTTGTCGTGTACCGTCCGAGCCCGATACGAAAGGGACGATTCCGTGGTGCTGTCAGTCTGTCAGTTGCAGTTTCGTGCGATCAGTCTGCCTTTTCCATCCAAACATTTCGAATACCGGACGACTGATTCGTCCCGAGGGAACAACCAAGCTTCAATTGAGTTTCTGTCACCCGCCCGAGCGTATGCTACGTGTAGGGACAAGGTTGTAGATCCGACGATCTTCAGCACAGCCGCTGCGATGTGACCTTGCTTTCTGGGGCGATTACTCACACACAGACTTGATGACCGTTGAGAGACATGGGAAAGGGGTATCACAAGCATCAGATCATGGATAGAAATCTGGTCCAATGTGTGTATACTGGTGTAGGATAAGAATAGTCTATATGCATCTAGCCCGTCTCTTTGGGCCGTTCCGCTCCCATGCTGAGCCCATGCATCATGCCTCGTATCAACAACCCCATGTTGCTCGATGACTTGTCGCTCTGTTCATCGGCGTGTTTGTGAATATCAAAACATATAACAAGAAAATACCGGCGGCTGAGTTGGAGAAAGAAAAAAAAAAAATCAAGAATGCCCCATTTCTATCCATACTCCCGGCTGTATGACTCCCAGCTGTATGAATTTCCCTTTCTGTCCCCATCACAGCTTGCTCTGCTTCTTCAGTCACTTCTCCGAATCGGGAATGTGTCCCTCGACCGTGCTCAGAGCAGCCAGGTTGACCTGGCCGAAATGCTCGTGAGCCTCGCCGCCTTGACCAACCCCGGCCAGCAGTGCAACGCACTCGATCACGTCCTCGGGCTCCAAAAGATGCCATCTCGCCAGGGTGACCTTTGTGCTGGCGCCAACGGTGACGGTGAAGATGTGCTCGTGCTGGACCTCGGTGCCCGACAGACCATTGAGGGCGCGGAACATGTCCTCGTCGGTGAAGTCGTCGCCCAGGCAGAGGACGAACTCGACGGGGCCGGGGTGCTTTTCCGAGGCGGGCGCCGAGTTGTACGTGTGCACCAGGCGCTTCGCGATCTCGCCCTTGTTGATAAACGTCGGCCTGACCTCGAGGTTGGCCTTGCCCTCCATGACCTCGACATCCCACTTCTGGGCCACCGTCGACTCGAGCTCCTTGTGGCACTCGCGCGCCATGTGCAGGCCTTGCTCCGGGTCGGCGAGGCGATAGTGCCATGTCAGGGCGCAGCGCTTGCGCTCAACAAAGGAGCCTTGTCCATGTTAGCTTGTCCTCTCGTTGAACGTTGTCAGTATGGGCAGTTGGAAACGTACCGGGAACTCTGTCGGTAAAGGACTGGAAGCAGGCCATGACCTCCGCTTGCCAGCCCATGTCGAACTCGTCAGCGAGATTGACCCACTCGTCGGAGCCGGGATTCTTCATGAAGCTGCCGTGCTCCGCGCTGAAGCCGAGACCGGCAATGTGACCGAGGTGCTGGGTGAGGAACTCCTGATCGCGACCCGAGATGATCCAGACGGCATTCTGTTCATCGCTGGTGAGGGCCTTTAGGGTCTGCAGGACGCGCTCCGAGGGGACGGCGGCGCTGGGCTCGCGGACAATGGGGGTGAGGGTGCCGTCGTAGTCGAACATGAAGAGGCGCTTGCCGGCGTCGCGGTAGGTCTTGAGGAGGGTAGCGCGGTCGAGGAGCGGGGTGGCGGCGACGTTCTTCTGGGTGCCGAGGACGTGGATGTGCTTACGGATAAAGTTGTCGATCCAGCTCTGGACGTTGCGGGTGGTGACGTGGTTATAGAGATTCGCCTGCATGGCCATGCGCTTCTCGGGGGACATTGTGAGGGCGTTGTTAATCTCGACGGCCACGCCAGTAAGGTCCCACGGGTTGATGTGAATGGCGTCCTTGAGGCTGCCGGCGGTGCCGCTGAACTCTGAGAGGATAAGAGGCCCATGGCCCTCGCGCTGGCAGATGACGTACTCCATGCTGGTGGTGTTCATGCCGTCGCGGACCGAGGTGATGAGGCCAATGTCGGCGGCGCGGAGTAGGGCAAAGTACTCGTCCTGGCTGAGGTACTGGGGGTAGTGCTGGACGGGGGAGAAGCCGAGACTGCCATACAGGCCGTTGATGCGCATGACGAGCTCGTTGACGCGGGTGGCGATGCGGCTCTCGGAACCGTCGTCGTCCTTTTCCTCCTCGATGCTGGTGGGGGAGGTGACCTGGATGAGGACGACCTTTTCGCGCCAATCGGGGTACATTTCGAGGAAGCGCTCAAAGGCCTGGAGTTTCTGGGCGACGCCGCGGACCGAGTCGAGGCGGTCGCGGCCGACAATCATCTTTTTGCCCTCGTACAGCTTCTTGAGGGCGTCGTACTTTTCGGTGACAGCGTCGGTCCAGGCGTACATTTCGCACTTGTCGGCGTTGATGCCGATGGGGAAGACGCCGACCTGGACGCGGGCGCCGTACGCGTCGACGCCGCCGCTGTCCGAGGGGAAGCCGAGAATGCGGGTGCAGCAGCTGGAGAAGTGGCGCGAGTAGCTGTAGGACTGGAAGCCGACGAGGTTGGAGCCGAGGACGCCCTCAAGGACCTCCTTGCGTCGGGGGAGGCAGCGCAGGAACTCGGAGGAGGGGAAGGGCGAGTGGAGGAAGAAGGAGATGTTCATGTTGGGGACGCGCTGGCGGAGCATGCTGGGCAGCAGCATGAGGTAGTAGTCGTGGACAATGACGATGTCGCCGGGCTTGTAGAGGTCGATGATGCTGTTGGCAAACTTTTGGTTCATGCGGTAGTAGTCGGCCCATTGCAGGCGCTCCTTGCGGCCGTCGGTGGGCTCGTGCTGCTTGTAGTGGAAGAGGGTGTAGAGGTCGTGCTCGGCGTAGCGGCGCCATCGGCTCTGGTCCTTGAGGAGGAGGCCCTCTTCCTGCTGCTCGTTGTCGTCGCAGAGCCAGACGGGCACCGTCTTGATGGTCTTGCTGTGGGCGAGCTGGGTCTCGAGGCGGGTCTGGTCCTCCTTGGGCAGCCAGAGGCCCTCGCTGGGGGGCGGCGTCGGCAAGCGGGCATCGCCGTCGATGGGAATGGGCGCGGAGAGGGTATTGAGGGAGGAGAAGTGTACGGTGGTGGCGGGCGGGGTGCCGGGCGGCGAGAGGACGTCTTGCGGCGTGTCGATCTCGCCGGTCCAGGCGACGACGGTGTGGTCCCAGGGGGTCTCGTCGGAGGAGAGGTAGGCAAACGAGTCGAAGAGGGCCGACTGGCCGCGGCGAGGCTTCAATTCCTGGATGATGTCAGCGGGGTTGTCTGTGATTGAGGCATGTGGTGGAGGGAAGCGATGGAGGTGGAGGGACGCGATTGAGGGAAGCAAAGCGATTGGCGCGAGAGAGGAAGATGGATCGAGGCAATGGAAGACAACTCACCCAGTCGGAGCCCTTGCGATACTTGAGCGAGTGCGGAATGTTAAAGGTCGCCGAGATGATGTTGCCGCTCAGCTGGAGGTCCGGGTTGGCGCTGCGGATCTGCGACAGAGACTCGCGGCGGCCCATGGCGGCGAGGGTCATGCGCTTGAGGATGTCGCCGGGACCTGGCGACGGAGGGACTCTGGTCGAGGCTGTCGAGGGCGTCGAGGATGTGGCCGTGGGTGCGGATGTCGTCGGGTTGCTGGTGATGTTGTTCTGGGCGGGAGACGTGGTGGAGGTGGTTGTGGTGTTGTAGTTGGAGGGGGGAAAGTAACTGGGCGACTGGGCGCGCGAGCTGTCGGCAGAGTTGTACGTGTGCTGGTGGATGCCGGGCGTGACGGCGTCTGAGAGGGCGATGCTCCTGAGCACGGGGTTGGCGGGGTTGACGGGCACAGGATTGACGGCCGCCGGGTCTGGTGCGGGGGAGTGCTGCTCCATGATGACTCGTTACTTTCTCTCTCGTCTGTTACTCTGTACACACTGTTTCTGTCTATCTCTCTCTGTCTCTCTCTCTCTCTCTCTTTTGGGTCTGTGTGTGTGGTGCGTGCCGGGGAACGTTTGAGTTTGGCTTAGCGGCGGCCCCAAGGACCAGGGGATACGAGAGAGAGAGGCCGAGGAGAGAGATGCAATTCAGAGGGGAGATGGACAGAAGATTCAGACGAGCCTCAAGGGGTTGCTGAACGAGGTCAAGGCAAAGGTGTGGTGATGATAGTGAAGAAGGAGGGGGAGAAGAAGGGGAAAAAGAAGAGAAACAGATGAAGTAATGGCCAAGATGGTTAGATTACGAATGGGACAAGTCTGGGAAATCCTCAGAAAGTGACAGACAAAGACCGATCCGGAGACGGTTGACCGCTTGGAGCTGGGGCTGGAGAGGGCGGGAAGAGAGAGGGGAGAGGAGGGGGGGGAACACGAAAGAGAGGGGGAGAGAAAGGGCAGGGGGGGGGGGGGGGGGGGGGGGGGGGGGGGGGAGGGGGGGGGGGGGGGGGGGAGGGGGGGGGGGGGGGGGGGGGGGGGGGGGGGGGGGGAGACGACGGTG